ATTAGAGTCCACGGCGAATCAGTTTTCTTTGCAAGTTGGGAAATAAAGTAAACCAGAGTAGGGTCGATGATTTTCAGCCCTGAAGGACTTCCGTGTGAATCCTGAGTTACAAATTGTTCATCGACTGGTCACCAAATATTTATGACTATAACTAAATTTGACACGTTTTTTTTAAGCCCAATAAATTATTCATACATGTCAAGCTCTGTTCGATTTTTTCAGGGCATGTGGCCATTTTTAGTTGAAAATATTTGTTGTGGGAAAACTTTTACGGTACAGTATAGACTGAACTCATTCAATGATCGTGACTTATTTTTGAAAATTGAATGTCAAATTTTAGCAGACATGGACCGACGTGGATTCGGTATCGTTATTTTTGGAATTAATCATTAACATTTCCTCGTTTCTCTACTCTGTCAAAATGAGTTACCTATGCTTTTTTCACGTAACTGTCATTAAAATAATAAAAAATAGTACATCTAGAACAAGCACCCAAAACATGTAACAAGAGGTCACAGTTCAGTTGCTTTCACGATACAAGTGTCATACAACTATTAGATTCGAAGTGTCATTCAGAATTTAATAATAGTTAGTACAAGTTGTATGTTCACATTTTACTATCAAAACCACCATTTCGACCAGTGATCCGTGTTTGGGTAAGCGGTCGGTGTTTCAATGAGCGAGCTAGCGAAAAAACCGCGATTAAAATGCGGTCAGTTTCCGGTCGGACAAGACCGCATGGTCGGAAATTAAGCGATAAGCGGTTAATGTAAAAGCGGAAGGTTGGGCGAAATGAATACTGTATGCCCGGACTGTATGACCATGTTTCTCCGACGAAGTCTTGACTGACAATAATGCTGGCAATGGACGTTAGATAAACATGCATTGTTTGCGATGGAAAGCTTATCACCCGTTATATCAGAATCGTCAACAACAGAGTATACAGATAAGATGTTATCATTTAAACCCTTCCAAAGATAAACATTATGCAAATATGCATGAAACGGCAGGTGTACCGGGTAGTCTTTTCTTCTAGCGTTTTAAAACACTAATTTAAGCAACGTTATTTTGCAATTTCGATCTTTTGTAAACCTGAGATGATGTATCAAGGTCTGAATTAACCGTTTTATCAATTTTTGAAAAATCAAGAAAAAAGTGAAAATTTCCCTTCTTGCTACCTTAAAGGCAACTCTATTATTGTGTAAAATTATACCAAAATACTAACAAATCATAGAAAATAGTTCATCAAAAATAATAATAATGTGTGATATAAAAATTATTCTCACACATAACCAAAAATTGTCTCAGCTAAACAATAGAATTTCTTTTGATACGCAGGAGCCTGGTGGATTGAGTGTGATCGTACGGGTATTCTTCAACTCTCTACAACTGCATTTATGTGTTTCCACTCCCCTTTCATTTAGTTTTATTTCTCATCTTGCTATTAAGTAGTTGCATTTTCGTAGTTGCACAATTAGCAGCCTTATTCATTTTTGTAATAGTAGCTGTGTAACTCCACACATAGCTCCGGGTGAAAAACCCACCACCCACCCCCTAGGGTGCATTCAAGCATGTGGTGGGTGGGTACAGACTTGTAGAGATGTTCAGTCCTGTTATTATTCAGGTATTTAATATGTTTTTTGTTTTTTTTTGTACAGCTTGTGTGCTGCTTACCAATTTGTATACAAGTTTTCAATTCTTATTACTTCTGTATTTGTGATTACTTCATAGATGTGACAATACAAATTTATGTATATCTTCAGGTGTGTATTCTTGTGGCACCAGAATTACATTCTGATTACCAGTGTGTTCATGGGTTTATCATGAATACGTGACAATGTCATAGTCTAATAAAACCTCATGAAATGTTTGCGGAGATATTTTTAGATATTTTTAGACGATATTATCGATATTATCAATAATAGTTGCCCAGACAGACCTGTCTAACTTAGACATTTTTAGACGATAATATCGGATAACGTTGAAAAGTGTAATGTCCCACCATCCTCAGTTTTATGGTGTGGCACTCACAGTGACTCCCACAGAAACCTTCACTGCTACATTTCTTTCTCATATAATTCAGGAATATTTGAAATTACTGTACATCATTTTTAATAAAATAATCAATTTTTAGAACAGCATCTCGATTTAAAAACAAATCTTTATACTGCATACAGAATAAAAGTTATTTTTGTAAGAGCTTCATATTGTTTGTAATAATTTGTCACGCCTGTATGAATCTGTTGGTGTGATTTATGGAGGTTCATACCAAATTGAAGATTATAAGTCTTCTACACACTCTCATTATTATCAGTTAATATCATTAGGATGCAGGAATATTAAAACAAAATTGGGTTCACTGAAATGTCATGAAAATGACAACAAATTTGCATTTTGCCCTTGTTTCTATAGTGACATAGCCTGGTAACACGAGATAGAAAAAGTCATTATTTTTTACATAAATCCTAATATTGTTAAAACATTTCAAACCAGATATGAAATGAAAGTGCTTATGTTTGTTAATCAATTATTAAATATGCAAATTAATTGAACTGATAAATTCCAAACTATTTATTGATATTATGTGTTTTTGTTATTGCGATAAAATACAGAAAACACAGTTAATCAGTATGCAAATTAGCTAATCAATATGCATAAAGTATCCAAAACACTTTTTAGGTATTAATCTACGAACAGCAAACACATAACAAATTTTAATCAATTTACTAATGAGTAAACATTTACAAACAGTGCAAAGAACAAGCTAAACCAAACAATTATGTAAATTAGTTAATTAAAACGAAGACTGATTCTAAGCAATCATCGATCACGAAACTACACAAACAGTACACTATGCTTAAATCCATTTTAGCAAACTTAGAATAAGAACAGAACATGATGAAAGTAGTTAAATAGAATACAAATTAGCTAATTAATATACAGATTAATTTCAAATAAGGGTTAGACATTTAACTAAACACACAGTATGCAGATATCAAGTTTAAAGCAAATGGAGCAAACTACTATAATCTAAAATAAACAAGACGAAAAGAGTTAATTAATATTCTAATTAGCTAATTAATATACAGATTAATTTCAAATAAGGGTTAGACATTTAACTAAACACACAGTATGCAGATATCAAGTTTAAAGCAAATGGAGCAAACTACTATAATTTAAAATAAACAAGACGAAAAGAGTTAATTAATATTCTAATTAGCTAATTAATATACAGATTAATTTCAAATAAGGGTTAGACATTTAACTAAACACACAGTATGCAGATATCAAGTTTAAAGCAAATGGAGCAAACTACTATAATCTAAAATAAACAAGATGAAAAGAGTTAATCAATATTCTAATTAGCTAATTAATATATACAGATTAATTCGAAGCAGTTATCAGATATTTACAATAAATTTGAGACTGATGGATTTACTTTGTGCTTTGTATAGAGAAGCCAAATATTGTTAGTGTTCTATATATACACTAGAATATTATCTCCCATAATGCATTGCACATATGTGCAGTAGGATGCAAAATTTGAAAGAGCCTTAAATATGCAAATTAGATGATTATATTCTTGATTGCGCATACAATGTATCAATTGCATATAGCAATCTAAAAGTTGGTACATATTCAATGAACAATTTATCGTGAAAATACAAAATATAAGATTGATTAATTATTATGTAAGATAGCTAATTAATATGCATAAACAATAAGAAAACTAAAAACAGACTCATAAGTGAAATGACAGTCAAGTCAGGTCATTACTACCTCTCTTTTGAGCTAAAAATAGACAAATCAATAGTTGGACAAAATATTGATATATTGCCATAGCAACTTGCATGACATAAAGGTAACAGATGTAAGACGATGAATATATATTGCTGGTAGTAATGGAAAGCTGTATTCAATAAAGAACCACCAGTGTATGGTTATTTGTTCAAAAACATATAATATTATCAGCATGCCAATACAAGCCATGGCCCTCTTGTTATAAGCAACCAAAGAAAAACTCAGACGAAAATTGACCTTTGTGACATAGGAATGATTATAGTGAAACTGTACAAAAGAAGTGAGGATATTGTACAGTTTTTCCAGGAGAATGGACTGGGAAATAAGAAATTGGGTTTAGCCAGACTAGTTTACGTGAAGCGTTAGGTATCGACAGGTTTTCTGTACAATTAATGTGAGAAATCAATAAAACATGCCAGTTTTGAGTAAATCTTAAATTTCCTCTTTTTTTATGTGTGAAATAACATTTAAAAACTAGAATTAAAAAAGAAAACAATATTTCCTTCAATGTGAAACCTAAACAGTAAATCCAAGTGTACTAGAGTACAAAACCAATAACAACAATTGTTAAAATCGTATCAACAGACAAGACAACAAGCAATCTCTCGGACGAGAAAGCTCTGCTGTTAGCAATGCACATATCAATTAGAAAATTGAAGATATCATCACAAAATGAACAAATCTGAGATCAATCCACCTCAGTTACCCACATGTACAAATCTAAGAGAGACCCACCTGAGGCACCAATATGTAGTATATTAAAGCAAACGGACTAGTGGTTTTTAACAAAAAGTCCAAAATATCACGTTTTACCAAATATGACAAAAATATTCATTTAAAATTAGACAATTAAAGATATCACCATGAAATGAACAAATCCAAAAAAGGTCTACCCAAGGTACATATACACCAGGTATCAAACCATTATCATTAATTCCCTATATACATGTAGGTGTTTTATGTTGAAGATAATTTTATGTTTCAATTTAAGCTTTATCGCACAGCACCAAACACTTTTCAAACAGTATACATTATTAGAGCACAATTATTCACTTCTTTCACTACATGCTGCACATATTTGTATACCATCTACCAAAACCTCCATATTTATCACAGATTTTAGTATTTTAATTCGTCTACCTACAAAAACCATACAGTTGTGGCTGTTCACCAATGGACAGTAAAGTGCAGTTATTTACCTGTGTAGCCTTGGCATCAAATGCATAATCAAAGACGTACTGTTTTTCTCTTGACCTATTTGCTCTAAGGATGTCATCTGGATCTTCAGTGGGATCCAACAATACCACCATCTGTAATGACAAACAAAACAATTCAATTAATTAAAAGATCACATTTATATAAATTTGCTTCAGTAGTTGAATAATATGAGGTTATTACGAGGATACCTCAAAGTATTAACGCAGACAATACAGAGGGAGTATTGACCGATGCGCAGCGAAGGTCAATGCGATTGTGTACTGTTTGAGAGCATACTTTGAGGTATCCTCGTAATAACCTTATTATTATACATCTTTTCCTTCTAAGGATACATCATGGGAATGCTGAAATCGAAAATGTTTAGAACAGAATCAGTGAACTTCTTTGTGTGGAGTCCAGTCAAATCCTGGTGGCAGCCATGTTTGTTTTTATTATTATAAAACGCTTACGTGCGTAATCATTCCATATTTGGAATTCGCATTTCCTGATATGGTAGGATAAATATACCCTGTAAAATACCACAAAATGTAAGACACGCTGTAACTTATGGCTTTATGGTGACAGATGTATAATAAAAATCGGTATGTCTAATATTAATAATGTACATAAATATGTACATTTATATTTTGAAAAACTGACTGAAGTGGTAATGTCCAAACCTTAATGGCACCAAAGTGACAGAGACAGTTGTCCGGTTTTCAAAGGTATTTATTTTATAGACACTAGGGTAATACAAATAAAAAGCTTTATATATGACGCTTAGACAGATTTCACAGTTGCAACAAACAATTTTTATTTCAGTTTTTTTATTAATAATCTTGTATTTTGATAAAATAATTATTTTTGTATCTCTTTACTGTTTACTGTTGATATTTGTTGAAACTGACTGCATTTTAGTCCATCATTTTCTTTTGGTCATTTGTTTTCCAAAAAGGCTTTCTTTCAGCAATATGGATCTATTGGTTGCTCATATGTAGCGGTATGTTAGAAGCTGCATCTGGAATGAATCTATCAATGTACCATACCGTAGTAGTGTTCATACAATGCATGTATCATTTCATAGATAGAGAGTAAAGAAAGCTATCGTAAGTAAATATACCATGTATATCAGCTTTAATGACTATACCCCCTCTCTCATTCTTCTTTTTAGTGTTTCAAATAACTAGACAAGTTATTAAAATTGACTCCTCGTTTTAAAAGACAGACATGTCAATCAAATGGTATACGCTTGATTTTATATAATTAAAAATCTACAAGCTTTCACTCCTTGATATTAATAAATGAATTAATAAATGAATCGTGTGGTATAATAACAAGAATTTAATAAGGCCCAAGATATGATTAATTTGTTAAGTGTGCTCAACTGTGTTGTTATATTTTGGTTGTCATGGTAACATAGTATAACAGATATAAATCTTTGTATGCTTAGTTGTGAAGAGTGTTATCTGATGAAAAGCCACATGGTGTTCCTTCAATTGCCATCACTTGTATGTATGTACAGTATGGAGGATATCATTACAACAGCTTTATCACCAAATACACTATCAAACCCAGCAAATACGTCTTAGGATTAACATTGACCTTCTTGTTGTTATTCAGTGATATAGAAAACTGAATGCAGAGAATACAGCACAAATTAGGACTGTACATGGAACAACATAGAGACATGACAATGCAATCTAGTTTGAACAAATTTAACACTTTCATGGTCAAGTCAATGAAAA